GACTGGGATGAAACTTGGAGTGCCTGGGTTCTTTGGCACGGAAAGAACGAATCTGACATTAAATGCAAAAATATTGTGCTACTTTAAATCTGACTGCCATTAAAATGGCGGAAAGGGCCTCATCTTGAAAATAGTGCAATATTTTTGCATTTTGCCGTTGGATTCGCTCTTTTAAGAAACCGAGATGATAACTTCCCGCCTTGTTAAGGCTGCCGTATTGAAAATAGTGCACTACTTTTGCATTCCGATGTCAGATTCCTTCTCTTCGTGCCAAAAAGCCCTTAACACCAAGTTTGATCCAAGTCAGCCGGTTAACAACCAAGATTACTGTGTCTCCTGTCAGAGAAAAAACGAAAAACACCCGGAATTTTGATGTCATCAGGAAAACATCACGAAAAGCGGTCACGGATCAGGAAACTCCAAATTTAACCTACATGCAGTGTAGCATACACAAAAGTAAAACACTTGATTCCATGCACCAAAGATTTTCGTCCGTAAGGTTCTAACGAGTGTCAATTTATTCGCGGTCTTAATCTAGAAAATTGTATTTAAAATTCCAGGAAAAATAAAGAATACATCAAAAAATCTGCAATGAAATAGTCGACATCCCGTAAAATTCTTTTCATATCTTTTTCTTTTAAACTAAAATAAATTAAACACGGTCTAAGTTTCTGAGTTGATGCAACTAAGATGCATATTTTTTCTTAAATTATAATTAAAACGGGGTTGATAGGCAAAAATAGTGACCGTAATTATCTCAGATTGTAACGCTGTACACCGCCTCTCATGTTCGATTATAAATGGGTAGTAATATTCAATAAAATAAACCTTGTTTATTATATTGAATATTCTGAAAGTACAACGTGAGTAGATGACGTGGTGATTTTTCCGCATTTTTATGGAGCCGAAATCGCGGAGAAACCCGCTTTTGAAAAATCTAAAAACTGCAAGACATTTCGAACGCACCCGAATGACGGGAAACTGACGGTGTTGACGCACTGCGGTAGTCATATCGCAATCTTCTCTCATTTTCCTCTGATGTTTGTTAAAATAAAACGTGCTTCAATATGGAATTGTTGCTCGTTTATTACAGCTAACATATGAATGAGATTCAAGTCTTGAATTCAAAAGATATAATTTCGACTTTAGTATTGTTTTCATATACGAAGAGCAGATAGACATTTTGACGGAAGTCGTGGAAACCCGTGCCCGCTTCTGATTGGTGCCGGATGACATCATTCGGCGCGGCGCGAAACCGGGGCGTATTAAATTTGCGTATAAGTTGAGCGATCTGAACTGCGCATTTCTCGGTTATTGAGTTACTTGTTCGCGTTTTTAATGTGCGGATCGTGTTCTACGCGTCATTTTCCTTCAGAAAACTATATTCGCAAGTCAAAATTCGCTCATGGTTTAGTGACCCATTCATTTCTTTTAAAAGCTAACACACTGGCATCTGAAAAGCTTCCAGGAATATACCTAAACGATTTCAAACATAATCACAGAATATTTCGATACAAAATTTTCATTCGTTTCTTCTTCTTTTTTCTTTTTTCTTCTTATTTTAACTGAAAAAAAATAAAATATAATCTGAGTTTTTGAATGGTTGCAATCAAGATGCATAATTTGCTTTCAATTTTTGTAAAAACGGCGCAGAAAGTCAAGAATGACGAGGCGTAGCGGAGTCTCAATTTTGCGGCGATTTTAGTGTCGCGCCGGCCAGGAAAGAAAGGAAGTTAAGGAAGTAAAGGAAACGCGGTCGAATCATCGGCGCAGTGTGACGCGCCTTCAATCCGGCTAGCGGCAACATGGGTACACCTGTGGTCGAATAGTTATCTCGTTGCGCCAGCCGTAAATGAATTCGAATATTTACCGCTCACGCGAAAAAAAGCGTATTTATCTCCGATTGCAACGTTGCACTTCTATACTTCTGTTTAATTTTTAAAGACATCTTTTTGAAAAGCCACTCACAGGTTTTCTGAAAAGTTTCCTGGGATTTTCTCGATGGTTTTCAGTTAAATCACGGAGAATATCGACGCGATATTTCCATTCATTTTATATCTGTTCTTTTCTTTTTTTCTGGAAACAATAAAACACTGTCCGAGTTTTTGAATCGTTGTTAATTGAATCAGTGAGTTCGAAAACACACCAACTCGAAAAAAAAAATTGTTCAGGAAACACCTAAAACTGCGCAGCGGGCGAAGAAGTTAGTTTGAGAAAAAGCTTTTTGGTGCCAAAGGACAAGTACTTAGAGACTTTGTACAGCATCAAGTTGAAATCGATACACCATGTTTGATGACAGAGAATTAAGCGTTTAAACATTTCCGAGTTGGTGTGTTTTCGTTCTCACAGACTTTCAGACGCACTGATTTTTCATAGTCTGCCCTGAAAAATGTACATGATTTGACCTGAATAACGCTTGAATATTTATACAACTTGTTGGTACAAGGTATACTGAACCGAAAAAAGAAAACTGCAAGATCGGATGGTCACCCGTTTCCCTTGAAATGGCCAAAAATTGGTATTTCCAATGATATACTTCGATTTTTCCCTTTTCCCGTCGCTGTTTCGAGCACTTCCGATTGCAAGTTCAAAATTTCCTTTTGCGTGCAGATACTTCTATCCATAAGTGTTACTAAACCGTAAAAAAGTGAAAATCGAAAAAAAACCCGAGTTGGTGTGTTTTCGAACTCACTGATTCAATTAAGTTGCGTATTTAAATGTTTTTATATTTTTATTTGCGTTTAATTTGCGGGCTCTACCGTCAGTAAAAACCGGAAAATGTCGGGATATCATGGATCGGAAAATTCTAAGTCTGCCACGCTAGCATTTTTAACCATTTGCAGTTGAGCATGTTCAAAAGTGAAACTATTTATTCAGGTCACCATAAATGTCGGTTTGTGAAGTCAAACTAGTGTCTATTCATTCGTAGCCAAATTCAGGAAATTGTATTTAAATTTTATGAAAAATCAAGAAAATATGAGGAGAATGCGCAATGTAGTCAACATCTTGCAAGATACCAATTTCCCGCCATCATGACGGCCGTTATTTTGAAACTGTTATTCATGGGAACCTACTCCGGTCATCGCAAAAAGTTAACTATTGTTATGATCTTTCTAATTCAACAATGAAAGAAAAATTCGCTTGGATCTAGAGTTCAGACACTTGAAAACATTAACAAGAACAAATACTCTTGCTTCAATCGGATTTTTGCTTAAATCAGAAGGAAATCCGCTCAAATGAATAGGCTTGGTTCTTGATTAAAGCAAAAATCCGATTGAAAATTAATGCCTCTGCAAAAGTTGGTGGTTATCCGAACAAAAGAGACGTCAAGAGGTTTTGAGCAGCTAGATTGGGGTTTTGACACCCTGTGCCGTGCAGTAGAGTTGTCTTAGTGAAGAAAGTTACTTTCGTGAATAAAAGTTATTTTTCAGCTGATGATGATTGATAAACGTCGCAGTAATTTTCTGATAAGGTCGGATTACAGGTCCAATCCCACCGCCTCTTAATAAATTGATGGCTACAGTCAAAAACTGTGTATGGCTCCCAGTGCAATGTTGCATATCTCTGTTCATGTTTTATTCGTATTTAAAAAGCCATTCTTGAAGTCTCTTAGAATGCTCTTTTTTCAAAAATATCCACAAAAAATTTTTAGGAGGTCCTTTGATCAGTTTTCGTTTAAAATTTTTTTTAAACACAATCGAAGAGTTTAAAAAGCTGCAATAAGCTCGCAAACTTTTCGATTTCCCTGAAAAGGAGATACCAATAGCTGCTATACAACTTGCGCCTTTTAAGTTTTAATATACCCTCCATTTAATTTTTACTTCACTGCTGAAAAAAAGTTACGGGCTATATAGACGTGCCGTTCGTTCCGGGCTCAGAGGACGAAAGTTCCGGGTGCTGGACCCATAGCTTCGACTATTCCGGGTGCCACCTCCGGAACTTTCGGCCTCTGAGCCCGAAGCACGTACAGTATGTCTATATGGCCCGTAAGTACGGCTTCTACGACCAGATTTTTTTTTTTTTTTTCAGTGTTCAATTTAAAGTAACAAACGGTAGAGGTAGACTCTCGTAACCCAATCACAATAATTAAAGCACAGTGGTACCGCCCCCTGTAAAAATCCCCGGAAAATCCCCTATCAGTTAGCGCTAATGATGCACCAGCAGCCTGATTGTTGTTTATGTCGGCACGACCAGAATCGAAAATCGATGTATTACGCGGTGCAGATATGGCTATGTCTTGTCTTATCGATATAGCCAGTTAAAGTTTCAATAATCGGGCTGCTACTAGACTTGAAGGTGATTCGATGGATGCCATATTTTGTGTCAGAAAGGTATGCGATACATCGCATCAATTGGTTCCATTTTTTCAGCTACTCGTCATTTTTCTCCAATTTTGAGATCGCAATTCTGTTGGCAGGAGACTAAAGCACTCACGTACGAATTTTAACAAAGAAATTCAACGTAATAAAGCGTGGTTTTTTTTAGAGAGAAAATATCGCATTCGAGTGCAGTTTCGATATCAGTATCTAATGCGATGTTTTCTCTCTAAAAAAACCACGCTTTTAATACGTTGAATTTCGTTGTTAAAATTGGTAAGTGAGTGCTTTAGTCTCCTGACAACTGAATTGCGATCTCAAAATTAAAAAAAAATGACGAGTAGCTGAAAAAATGGAACCAATTGATGCGATATATCGCTTGCCGTTCTGACACAAAATATGGTGTCCATCGAATCACTTTAAGGAGAGTCACGAATTTTGTAAAATGTATTCAAGTTGGCCTGCTTTCCGGGCAAAATTCGGGCCCTGCTCAAGTCCCCCACGAGACAACGGACGCGAGCAAGTTATCGGTGCAGCGGGCGACGAGGGAGTAAATATTTTGATCGGACACGTGGGTTGCGGGTTGCCGCTCGCGGATGGCGCGGCGCAAGCGCCGCGCCATCGAGGGAGGACGTTTAACTTTTTTAGCGGAGGTTAACCCTCTGCACTTTCCGTACTCGACGACGCAGGGAGGCTGCTACCCTCAGTCGCACTCTGTTGATCGCCGCGATCACACCGCTTTCCCGCGCGTTTCGTTTTAACTCGGAACCGACGTGGTTTCGACCCGCTATTGTCTTGTCGCAGCTTTCGCTGAATCTCGCATAAAAGTCATGAGGAAATGAGAATTTAAGTGACGGGTGTCATGTAAATTTTTGGGAGAATATCAAGGAATTTTGATGAGCAGAGCCTAGAAACAATTAGATGAAAGTTCGGAAGAAATCTGACCGAATGTGCCAGAAATTGCACGACTGCTTTACCGCTTAAAACCCAACTCGAATTTTCTACCCTTAAAATTCTTTGATCTAGTCGTTTCTAATTTGCGGTACGCACTCCGGAACAACCTTCGAAACCGAGAGGATTTTTATTTGTTACGGTTCTCATAATGGTAGACCTCGGTCGGTGTTCGAAATGGAAATGCTCTCTTGAAGCAATGTGACAATCGTTTGACGGAGAAATTGTTGTTTCAAAAACGATTTTTTTCTTATTCTCTATTTCAGTGTTGGAAAGAGTATTTAGTCGCTGACCAGCAACGATTTACGCGGAAAAAATATGTGTGTTGTCCGAAAAAAATAATTATGTGAACGCGTGAGCTCTGGATTTTTGTTTTTATCAGTTGTTCGAATCAAGTAAGTCATCCATTCGTTGTTTCTAATTGGACAACTTTAGCGAGAATTAGCCTAACTGTATCAGACTTTGTATAACTGGACGTATTTCTGCCAAACGGAACTATGTGTATCAAGACATGAGCCCTGAGACCCATAAGAATGTATGCATAACAGGGCTCATGTCATAATGCACATAGTTCCGTTTGATAGAAAAAAGTCCAATTTTCCCTCGTGTTTTATTCTGTTACTTACAGAAAATTAAGCAAAATTTTTCTTTGAAATTATAAGAACTTTCTCCATAATCTACCGGAAGTCCGGGGAAAATCTCAAGGCCGTACGTTGATTAAGTGTTCAGGAAAAAATGAAATTCGTGAGGGGGTATTAGGCAACATTAAATGCAACTAGATCAATTTTCGTTAATACCGTGCGGTTTTTAAAGTTTGTTAAAATTTTCAGTTACCATAATTCAATATTTTACAAGTTATTAAAGGTCGGAAAACACAGTATGCTGCATTGCCGATAACGTACTTTTAGGCTTTAAACTGTTTATTGTATTTTAATTTTAGTTAGGTAGTAACTGCGACATCCATTTTGTCCTATGCACAAACCTTTTTTTTTTGCATAAAAAAACCCCCCAAATAACCGTGATTTGCAGAAATTCTGCAATATTACATTACAGTTTCCTCTATTCTGTTGGAAACGCTGTAACTACTGTTATGAGCTTACCTTTTATAGTAAAGCCCATCTGTAACGTCAGTTTCTCAATTACGGCTATGCTGTGGGGTAATGTGCTTGATCATGGAGGAAGCCGAGTTCTCTCTAAGATATAGTTGCAAAAGAAGCAGTGAATCTTTTTATAGGTAATACATATTTTTATGAAAATATACGAATTTTAATGGAAAAATAGAGAAGTTCTCGCGAGAAATGCGCCCTCAAATTTCAAATTTTTCCAATTTTTCTCCGTGGCATAACTTCCAAAATGAAGGCGCAACGTAGACATTACTTGCGCGCCATTCAAGAGCTCCATTCGGCTCTAATTAGTTTTCTTCATTAATTAGTCGAACAGCGCATGAAAATAGCGTGTGAACTTATCGCTAAAGTTTTTAAAGTATCGTTTTTAAACACTTAGTAAGCAACAGGTTTGCAATAAGTAGGATGATCACAGAATATTTGTAGTCAGGGGCTGAATCTTTTAGATAACTCGACTTCATGCTTCTTTTGTATAAATGTTATCTCTGGAGAGATCATCAATAATCAGTAGTGCTATACCTCTCCATCTAATGTTGATCGATGACCGTCGTGTTGAGCTGTCAGCTTAGCGGACAATACACAATCTGACGAATTTGCTTCACTACTGCCCAACCCGACATCTGTCAGTCGTCAGTTGACAAAGAAAATGTTCAACATGTCTCTCATCACTCAGTCTCACCCGATAAATCGTCACCTTTCGAGCAAAGTATCACAAGCGCCATAGGACGTCTCGAAATTTCCGCCGCCATTTTATTTGTTTTCAGAAAAATTGTTGATTGAATCTGTTTGAAAATTTCACGGAATTTTATTAGCAGCACAAAAAAAATTCAGTGTAATTTTTGGACAGCTTCGTTGAACAATTAATTTCGCTGTAAAAAATAAAATGACTGCGGACATTTTTAAACGTTACATATGGTGCTTGTGATACTTTGGCCGTAAGGCGACGGAATAGTGGTGCTCCTCAGAAGTAAACTCTGCATCTTTTGCTCGTAGGCGAATTTTCGCAATCTAATGTGATACGTTCCGAAAATATGAACCTAATAATAAATCAGTTGGATGGCAGATCTTTCCCGGCTATTCATGGCAAATCGACTAAGCCGTTTCCTTCACTTTCCTCTGAATTTCATTGGTTCATGCATTCTCGATTCAGATCGGTTGAACAATGTACCGAACATTGTCATATGCATTCCCTAATTCGGAAAGCGTAGCATATCGACGGTGTAAGTCGGCAATCACATAACTCGGTTTGCGACGTCGCAGACTTCCTGTCATACTTTTTTTTAAACAGAAAACTACTCAACAGCAATTCTTTAAAAATGCCTCAATTTTTCCTCTCTGTGAGAAGAAAATTCTGCAAAAACTTCAACGAATGATGTCAACTTGTTCTCTTTCAAAAAAATAACATAGCGGCGGAGATTTTCAGACACCGCAAACGAGATATGTGATTGCGGACTCACGCCGCCGTCGATAAAGCGAACATTCGTCACAAGTTGCTTGCTATGCTTGGGTAGGCAGATGGAGGGGGGGGGGGGNGGGGGGGGGGGGTGTCTCTAATATATCCTTTCTTTGATCATCGTCGGTAAATCTGTAATATGTATAGAGATCATGTCTCTCTCATTTCTCAGTAGGCACGTTAGTTCAATTAAGCACATTTAACTTACCTCGGACGACGCAGTATACCGCTACGTTCTTGGCGACGCCCACACGGCCAAACGCATGCAACTATTCATGCTCTGTGGATGTATGTGTTGCATACCGCATAAAATTGAAGGCGTTGACAACTGCTCGACGTTTGCGGTAAGGTAATGCGTATTGAGTAGTCATGTTCCGGGCCATGGCCACCTGCAGATAAAGCAAAAGCAGTCTGCTCTTTTCTAAAAAAAAAAAATCTAGGACTACTAAATTTTTATTTTCAAATCATATAATATTGATTGAAATTGAAATAGGAAAACAAGCCCCCCAGCATTAAAGTCGAGAGGTGAAATTTATAATATGTTTTCCTCCTGGATAAGCGTGCCCGTCGCGAGGGACAGAAAAATCACATGCACGTATGTGTTGAGAACTTTAAGGGCGTTAAAATCCCCCCCCTCCTCCCTTTCTATCTCGAATGTGGGCAAGAGGAGTTAAGCAGAAATGTGATCATCTTGAAAACTCCCACAACTGTTTCTCAAATTAGGATATATTTATATTATTCCTTTTTACATTTTCATCAGCATTTATTGGATGCTTAAAAGAAGAAAGAGGGTGCAATTGCGTTCAGCTCGGTATAAAATTACCTTTTTATGAAAATGATAATGTTAGCAAGATTAGCGATTTAATAAAGGTGCCCACATCTATTTATGGAATTTGTTTCCAGACTCCAGTTATGATTTTGGGGGACGGAGGAGAAGAAATCGGCCACGCTCTCAGGATCATGTGAGGAGCCAGTGAGGAAAAATGGTGATCACGCCATTCATTGAAGGGGGGGGGGGGTTGATGTCATCGTCGGCCGTCTCTTGCGATGGCGATAGCTTCGTCAAGAAAATTGTTACAATCAATTTTTTTGACTTTATTAAATTGCAACTTACATGCGCCATTTTTGGCAGTAGGATTCCCCTCTTGAATTTTTACTGAAGAACTGGCATTGTGCAGGAGGAAGTGGTCAAAACGGGACCCAAAAAGTATCTAAAAGGACCAATTTCAGCGCGTGTATATTGAGTAACCCGTGGAATCGTCGATTTTCGGCCGAAGAAGCGTAACTGTTACAAAACTGCAAAATGGACTCGAAAAATTTTGCGCGTACTTGATAGAAAAATCAGTAGAATTCTCATTTGGAAGTGCCCAACAGTTTCCAGGAAAAGTGTAACATGTGAGTAGGAATTTTTGAGCTTTGAAATGTAAGTTACGTTCTTTCGCCCGGAAAAAGCGAAATTTACACCTCACCCCGCAATTCATGTCCATAGTTTTGCTGCTTCGTGAGCGTAGATGAAAGAGAAATCAGTGAAATTCTCAGTCGGAAGTGCCCAACACTTCCCTTTTCCGTGAAAAGTGTAACGTATGTTTGGAAATTTTGCAGCTTTGAAATCAGGGTGGCAAAATTTCATGAAAAATAAAATCTTGAAATTTCACGTGAAATACGAGGTCTGTTAGATTAGAAACCGGATTTTGGTCATAACTAGCCCACAATGCGTCCGAATTAGGTTTTTTTGAGCTTTCCTGATAGCTGAAAATATACTTTAGAACGTAGCGTTCACAGATTTTGTTTATTTTGATCAGTGTTTATTCTGTGTCATCTTGAATACGAGTAAGTCAGGTGCGTGTTGCGATTTTCATCATGCGATCGCTGATAGAGCAAAAATTCAACATTAAATTATTTTGTTTTAAACTCGGTATACCTTGTACCGAAACTTTTGGTATGTGCCAAAAAAGTTTACCATGATCATTGTATGAGATGTTTCCACTGTTTTGAACGGGTTAAACGATTTAAAACTGGTTAGGAGTTCGTCAAAGATGAGGAGCATGGGAATCTATCCTCAACGGCAACTGACACTTGTCACGAGGAAGAAGTGTGGGCAAAAGTGCTCGAAAATGGTCGTTTCGAGCTTGTTGAACAGAGTAATATTTCTGAAGGCTCTGTACATACAATTTTGATAGAATATGTAGACACGCATCGAGTTTCAGGTACACTTGCCCCTTGATTGTTGTCCGTTGAACGAAAATCCAACCAAATGTCAATTTCCCTTTAGCTGCTTGAACATTATAACAATGATCCTACATTCTTGGATAGGATAATTTTCGGTGACAATACTTTAGTGTACGGCTACGATATGGAGACGAAACTCCAATCGTCCTTGTGGGTTGAAAAATGTAGTGCAAGACCGAAAAACGAGAGACAAGTTCGGTCAAACATAATAATCGCAATACACCCTTGAGGTTGCCTTACTTCAAGCCACATACCAACGAAGCTAATTAGGATTTTTCAAATTTGTGAACGTAGCGTTCCTAAATATATTTTCAGCTATCAGAAAAGCTCAAGAAAACGTAATTTGGACGCATTGTGGGCTAGTTATGACCAAAATCCGGTTTCTAATCTAACAGACCTCGTATTTCATGAAATATCAGAAATTTATGAAAGACATTGAAAAATACCGGTTCCTTCTCATGTTTTGCAAAATGTAAAAATTGTGAGTTTATTCTATTTTTGGGTGTTTGAGTGCGGGTTGCATACTCTAGCCCCTGAAAAATATGAAATATTTCATAGCCTCGTGAAATTTCCTATCTTTTATTTCTTT